AGAGCTGGCTGTGGCACAGGAGGGAGGGGTGGGACACGTCCAGGCAGCTGTTCTGTGGGGGGGGCCAGGACAAGGAAGGGGAGGGAGTGATGCCCTGCCTTCACCGTGCAGCGCCAGTGGGGCCGAGGCCGGGAAGATTGAGGAGATGGAGAAGATGCTGAAGGAGGCCCACGCTGAAAAATCACGCCTGATGGAATCACGGGTGAGGATCGGGATGGGGCCCCCACCCCTCCAGGCTTTCTTGTTCTCCTAAAAGCTCTCGGTGACCCACAGTGTTCGCCCCACCCCTGGCATGTGCTTCTGGGGCAGGATCCTGAGAAAATCCCTCTCCCTTCTTTTCAGGGGGTGGGGGTGGGGGTTCCACCTGGTTTGGGCCAGCAGTAGCTGTCTGGGAAAGAGCTTGGCAGGGAGGGGGGTGTAAGCAAGGAGAAACCCACCCCAGCAGAACGGCCTCCTGCACCCTCTCCCCCTGCCAAGAGGACCCGAGGACAGACAGGGTGGCAGCTGGCAGCCCAGGGCTGGGCTCGGCTCCACAATGCCAACGGTTCCATCCCCCCCCCTCCCAAAAAAAAAATATCCAGGAGCAAGAGATGGAGCTACGGCGCCAAGCCCTGGAGGACGAGCGGCGGCGGAGGGAGGAGCTGGAGAGGCAGCTGCAGGACGAGACAGCCCGGAGGCAGAAGCTCATCGAGAAGGAGGTCAAGATGCGGGAGAAGCAGTTTGCCCAGGTATAGCGGGGGAGGGGGGAGAGGAGGGAGGCTCTGGCGTGGATCTCCGCCTGGACGTGTGCGCGGAAGGCCCTTCGGGCTGAGAGCCCTGGCAGGTCTTCTCTGTCTCCATCGGCCGCCACTTCTGGAATTCACACACACACCCCGGCTGGCTAGACAGGGAATCCAGTGTGGCTGAAGGAAACATGTCCATTGTGCCCCGCGGGGGCCCCCCACCACCACCCCACCCCTGCCAGCCAAACACACCTGTTTCAGGTGGCAGGATGCTCCCCAGTCACACTGGCTGTGGTTCATGGAGGGAGCCCCCGTGTCGGTTGCAGAAGGACCCACGGTCGGTCCCCAGGGCCGGGCCCTGGAGTGTCCGAGGGAGTGGGTGGCTTGGAGTGAGGAGGACCAGGGGACCCATGGGGCTCGGGGCTCGCTTCAGTGCCCGCCCACTGGGTTGGGGGCTCCTCCCCAGTGCTCCCAGGCTCCTTCAGAGACAAGCTCTGTGGCTGGATGTGCGTGGCGGCTGTGACAGAAGCAGTGAAGGGCGACCCCCGTCCTCTCCTTTGCAGGCACGCCCCCTGACCCGCTACTTGCCGATCCGCAAGGAGGACTTTGACCTCCGCTCACACATCGAGTCCTCTGGCCACAGCGTGGACACCTGCAGCCACGTCATCCTTTCAGAGAAAATGTGCAAAGGCTACCTGGTCAAGATGGGGGGCAAGATTAAGTCCTGGAAGAAGCGCTGGTTTGTCTTTGACCGCCTGCGCCGGACCCTCTCCTACTACGTGGGTAAGCAAACAGGGCCCCTCGTGGTCTCCCCAGCACTGCCACCATGTTCTCCGCTCACACTCTGTGTGTGTGTGTGGGGGGGGGAGGTAATCCTGGGTGCCCCACCCCCAATGCCCCCCCCCGCATGCTCCTCAGCCACCGGGGCCTTTGCCAGGAGCCAGGGCTGATTCCTCCCCCCACACACACACACCCCTACCTACCTTGACCCTATTTCTCCTCCTCCTCTGCAGACAAACACGAAACCAAGCTCAAGGGCCTCATCTACTTCCAGGCCATTGAAGAGGTTTATTACGACCACCTCAGGAGTGCAGCCAAGGTGAGCCAAGCTGGGGTGGCAGGACTGCCCACCTGCCTGCCTGCCTGCCTGCCTGGGCGACTCACCGCCCCCCCCTGTGCAGGAGAGGGAGGGGCCTCGGGAGGTACACAGGGAAGGGGCGGGTGGGCTTTCCGGGAGGCCCTGCCCCTTGTGGCGTCTCTGTTCCTCCCGTCACCTTTCTCTCTGCCTCATCCCACAGAAGAGATCGTTCTTCTCTTTCAGCCTGGCCAGCGTAGGTACCATCTGGTTTGCTCTGCCCGCCTGCTGCCTCTGCCCAATAACCCCTCTTGCCCCGCATGCCTCCACTAACATAGATGGCCTGCCACCCTTTGGGGCTGCCCTCTTTGCATCGGACCCACGGCCTTAGAGACTGGCTCGGTCACCTGCTGAGGTGCCTAGAACTAGGATGGCGATTTCTGGCTCTGAAGGTGGACTTGGGAGTCTGCCAGTGGCATCACCCAAGCTGTACAGAGGCTCCCTGGGCATCCTCCTTGGCACCTGGCAGTTCCAGCTGCAGAACAGGAGCCAAGATGATGCACTTCCCTCCCTCCCTCCCTCTCTAGCTCGAGGAGGACTTTGGAGAGCCCAGAACAGAGAGGCCGGGCGGGGGTGGCCCCTTGGGCGGTCCTGGTCTTGCTGCCTCTTTCCTCTCTAACCTGACCTTGAAGATCGGCTGCCTGCTTGCAGTGGCAAAAACCAAGGCCACTTTGTGTGGATGTGACTTGCAGCCGCCCTGCATGGCCACTAACCCTCCGGCCTGCCATCTCGCAGCCGGGGCTCTTGAGCCAGCCGGCTCATCCTCTCTAATCGTTCTCCTGTTTCTCTACATTTTCCCCCTAGCACCTAGCAGACTTCCTCCCTGCTCCCTTCAGTGGAGAGGTTGGTCTTCAGCTCCCTCTTTCGGGGTCGGATGGGGGGGGCACAGACTTCTTTCCATGTTTTGGGGGGGCATAGGAATGAGAGAAGAGGGGTACCATTTATGCCCCCCCTCTTGCCCTGGACGGTCCTTACTCAAACTGCGCAAGGCTTGGTGTCATCCTGGAGCGTATATCCTTCCCCACTTTCTTTCTTTCTTTCTTTCTTTCTTTCTTTCTTTCTTTCTTTCTTTCTTTCTTTCTTTCTTTCTTTTCTCTCTCTCTCTCTCTTTCTCTCTCTCTCTCTCTCCCTCCCTCCCTTTCAGGTTTTCTGTCTGAGCAAAGGGGTGGGGATGTTTCCCAGCTGCAGCCTTACAATGGAAGGGCAGGCTGGCAGGTTGCTTCAGACCACCCAAATCTTTCCCTCCTGTGCGCCGTTTCTTCTTCTCTCTGCAGAGTCCCAACCCAGCCCTCACCTTCTGCGTGAAGACCCATGACCGCCTCTACTACATGGTGGCCCCCTCAGCAGAAGCCATGCGCATCTGGATGGACGTCATTGTCACAGGGGCCGAGGGATACACACAGTTCCTCAGCTGATGAAGGGGAGCCCATGATGGGGAACCTCGGACTGCCTGCCTCTCCGTCTAGAGGAGGAGAAAGAAAGAAAGAAGAACGGAGGCTGCCCGCAGCCCAGCCCTGCTGCCCCGGGTCGTGGGGTCTCTAATTTTTCAGAGTCTGACGCCCTTTCCACTTCCACTGCAATGCCTCTATGGACTCACGGGGCTGGCACACAACCGATGGGAACCTCTTGGTGGGCTTCTGCTCCGTTGGTGTGACCCACTGGGGCGAAGAGGAGGGTGGCAGCAGGGCAGCCGGACGACAGACCCAGCAATGCCAGGACTCCAGCACTCTGTGGGGAAACGCAGGGGTCCCTCGTCTGCCCTAGACTCAGTCTCTGTCATGGAAAGCTGGACCTTCCTCCTGCTCCCTGCCTCTTGGCTTCTCCTGGGACTGAGCACCACCACAGAGAGCGGGCTGGCCCAAGCGAGGGAGTGTAGAGACTGCATCCGGTCCAAGCCACCATGTGCCTTGGCGGGCAGGGGAGAGTCTTATCACCCCCTCCCTGCATTTCCACTGCTAAGTGCTGCATGCCCTGTAAGGGCACCACTTGCTATTCTGCCTCCAGTGGGCACATGCTAGCAGCCCCTAAGGAAGGTGGGACAGTGCTAGCTCCACCTAGCCATTATCCTACTTTAGGTCAGAGCAGAGGGAGTTTTTTAGCTCCATGCCGGATTTCCAGGTTCACTTTTATATGTTGTTTTGAAAAAGAAAAAGGAGAAAGACTGTCTCTCTCCCCCTGCCTGCCCCCCACCCCCCCGCAGGGCTCAGGCAGACGTCGCTGCTCCTGACTTGGAGGGGGAGAGGAATAAAGCCTTTTACCTCAAGGGTCTGACGAGGAACTTTTCTCTCCCCCCCCCCATAAGGGACGCCCTGCAGCTGCCAACCCCTCTCCCAGCGCAGCCCCCGACCCTTGCATGGTGGGGGAAAGGTGTGGCTGCTTGTGCACTGTGGCGCTCCACATGGCTCAGGGCGAGCAGGTGCTCCGCTTAGACCCTCGGGGCAAGGCCGGGGGAGAAGCTGGCAAGAAGAGCAAGGACTTCAGGGTCCACAGTTTGGAGAGCGTCTGGTCCAGCCTCACCCGAGGGCAGCCAGAGCCTCTCCAGCCACCCCTGAGGAGCCTCCAGCCAAGGAGACGCAGCCACTTCCGGCGCTGGCCCTGGCCTGCTGCCAACCGGCTCTGACCCCTGGCAGGTATTGCCTCTGCTTAGTCCTGTCCCCACCCCCACCCCCACCCCGGGGGGGGGGGGGGAGAGAAACGTGCCAGGGGCTCAGGGCTGGGGCAACCTTCCAGCCACAGGAAGCGTCTCTCCTCGGTGCCTCTTCCCTGCTGCCTGGGGCCTTTGACCACACCTCCGGAGGGGCCTTCCAGACCAGCACTGCCTGGGAGTCCCCCTGCTCCCTTTTTTGGAGCGATCCCCCAATTTCTCCTCCTCTCTCCTTCAACTGAGTTCTGCAGCATAAAAGAAGAGCTGTGGCTTTTCACATGAGACTTCATTAGACCGTGCCAGGCACACACAAACACACACCCCTCCCCAGAGAGAGAGCGAGAGAGAGAGAGAGAGCGAGCGAGCTGCGGAGGCCAGGAGGTCAAAGGCGGTGGGGGAGCCACGCAGGCAGCCCAAGGGACTCCTAGGGCGGCAGGGTGAGGAGAAGGCTGGCCACCACGACCCAGGGCAGGACACGAGGCAGCGCCAAAGCAGAGGCCGAGGTGAGGCGCTCTCCGTAGAGGTCCAGCAGCTGAAGGACGACCCCGTTGGTCCAGCCAAAGCCCTCCTGTGGGGAATAGATAGATGGGGAGCGTGAGAGAGACAGGGCGGTGGAGTGGCCTGGATCCAGGATCCAGCCCCCATGACACTCGCTGAGGGGCCCGGGGGAACCTCTGTTCGGGCTTTTGTGGGGAGAAAGGCAGGGGAGGTGTCAGGCGGCTTGAGCAAATGAGTGACAAGGTAGGGAACGTGGTGAAAACGAATGGCTGAAGCAAGGAGCAGCTGGC